AACATAAAAATATTCCTTCTGAAAAGTTTTTGTTTCTCACCCTGAGAAATCCAGGTGTCTCAAGCTGTGATTAAGTGAGTGCTGAGTATTTATATGTGTGTGTGTGTGTGTGTGTGTAAGAAAATGGAGCCGGACTTTTCTCTCCTGCTGCTAATTGTCCTCTATACTCTGTTGCCCAAGGGCAGCAACAACACTAATCTACTGCACACTCAATGCCTCTCTGAATCTCTCATGTCTGTCTCTTCCACCGCCCTGTCCTCTCTGGAAGCGTCATTTGGCTCTCAATGGTTTGGTGTGTGGGTGTTGTGTGGGAGATCATGCAAGTCAAACAGTCTACAGCATGCTTTAACACAACATATCTGGATTTTTTCTGCCACATTTTTGTTTAAGCAGAATCACAACACAACTTTGCTGCCTGCTTGTGTCCCAGGTAAGTTTTATTGGAACATCTCTGAACTCTGAAGTAGATTATTTACATCAGCAGAAGATCACACTGGGTGTCACACCTGTAAGCAACAAACAGGAAACTGAGGCTACAATTCACCTCGCTCATCAAAAGTGGGAAGCAGAAGGTAAAAACATTACCTGGTTTGATGAGTCTCGATTTCTGCTACGACACTCAGGTGGTTGGATCAAAATTTGGTGTAAACAATTTAAAAGCCTGGATCCATCCTGCCCTATATCAAAACTTCAAGCTGCTTGTGGAGGTTTAATATTGCAGAGGATGTTTTCTTGGCACAGTTTGGGCCCTTAGTACCAACTAGGAATCCTTTAAATGCCACAGCCTGTCTGAATATTGCTGCTGATCATGCTCATCCCTTCATGGCTACATTTTCTGATGCCTTTTACCAACAGGATAACAAACGATGTCACAAAACTCAAAGCATCACAAACTATTTTTTGGTGATGGCCGTGACCTCACTATACTGAAATGTTACACAGTTATCATGCAGTTTCACTGGTCAGGCCCTCTCAAGATCAAAGTGGATCAAAGTTGGAGATACAGCGATACTTATCGGTCAAGCCTGCTGTTGATTCTTCATAAGGCATATATCATACATCATCAGAGGAACAACAGCAGGAATGTTTAGCAATGATGGCTCATTTCCACTGTGTCCCACTGTGTTGACCAGCCTGCAGATGAGCAGGACCTCCCTAAGTGGCATCCATCCATCATTGTCTGTGTTCTCCGTACTGTGACAGGCCAAGATGTCTGCTGTGAAAAAGACCTTTCTGGTCCAGAGTGAAGAGACAAAAAGCCAGTGCCAGGAAAGACTCAAAAATAAAACTTCCTTTAAAATGATATTATAATTGATAATAACATTGGTCCAAATTTACCAGTTTAATCGCATTGAGAACAACTCTTTAAAAAGCCTTAAAACACATGATGACTTTGCAGTTGTTTCTGGTTTTTCTGCTTTTCCTAATATAGAAATAGCTTACACACTCAGCAGCGCCTGTAAACTTTCTTGCAGATTAGCTTGCTAATGGTAATACTAGCTCAGCTACCCCCCCTCCTGAGTTATGGGACCCTCACCTTGTAGGTCATAGCGGTATGTGTGTGTCAACTTTAACCTTTGCAGCTACATACCGTGGTTGCGTGCACACTGAACTTCCTTGCATAAGTAGGTGGTCTTTCTTGCATTTCAGGGACACTCCCTTTTGGTTTTTAACTCTAGTTGAAGTGGCTTAAATCACTGGGGTTTTTTTCAGATTAGTTTTTTCTGGCATTCAGGGTGTTCAGTGTTATCCTAATGAATAAAGTCTTTTCCTTTCACTTACACACAGTGTAGCCACTGGCTTCAGACTAGCTGCGGTAGCTGCATTAAAAGCAGCGTAGTCTAAGAGGAAATGACGCTGCTGCTTTCAACAGCACGTCTCGTGGGAGGGCATAATGGTATGGTATCTTGTGTGGCAGAATTATGTAACAGGAGGAGAAATATTAATGTATGCCCACTCAGGATGTTGGGGAAAGTGGCGTTTGTGTGCTTAAGGGATGACAACAGAGGGTCTGACGGCAATAACATCGACAGTGCTCATTCTGCATGTTTGTGGGGCTCGTGTTTGCATCCTAGCACAGAATGCCACGTCTCTCGTGACCCTAGCATTGCCTGCACTCCCAGGCTACCTTCTACATCAGCCTGAGTTACATCTGCGAGTCCAGCCAGCAGTCATGTGACCTCTGACCTTCAGAGTTGTAAAATGATGACTGGATGGAACTGAATGAGTGTGTCATCAGAGGGCAGTAGCTCACAGGTTCACTGAAATGTTAAAGAAACGTCTTATGCTGCAGTTTAAAGAGAACCTATTATGACTTTTGTTTTTATTCACATACAGTGCTGTGCAAAAGTCTTTAGCCCTTATTTCTTTATATTGTGTCAGGAAAATGCAGTTTTTTGAACTGTGTGCAAACATAGATGAAAATACAGTATATTAGGAAAAAACTGACTTTTTTCAATTCTAACAAGCTTGAAATTCAGTATTTTGTATGACCACCTTTAGTCTTCAGCAAAGCCTGACCTTTCTCAGCCAATATTTCTTGTACTATAGTTTCTTTAAGAAGTCTTCAGGAATAGCTCTCCAAGCTCTTTAAAAGACATTCAAGGTTCTTCTTGGCTGTTTTTCCACATTCTCTGTCAAGATGATCTCACACTCTTTCAATACCTTTGAGTTCCAGGCTGTGGGAAGGCCAATCCTTAACACATGAGCCAAGGTTTTAAAAAAGTTGTGGTTCATTACCATCACCAGGACCAAGGTGTGAAATCCCTGCCGCACCACAGCCTACTACCATTTAAGCTATTGAGGTCACCTGAGTCAAGGTGTGAGTGGGGGTTGAAAATGCCTGGAAAAGGATAGCCCCAAGGGGACAGCCCTAAATACCTGTGACTATGATCCAAAGAAGCTTCTTGGATGAGAGGCAAAATGTCTTCACGTACCTAAAGAAGTCCATCTGCCTTGTTTTGAAACACGCTGGGCTACCATGACCTGGATGACACCAAGCTAATGGAAACTACTGAATCTCAAAGTTTTCTTGGGAGATAATACAAGATGATTGTAATCAAAGAATAGATTACTCAGTGAAATAGTCAGTTTTGTGTTTTTAATAGTTAGGGAGGTGTTTCATGTTAGGAGAATCTACATATCTAAATTAAATTTCTATAGATTGATGCATAATCTGTTCAATTCCTGAACATGAACATATTTGATAATTATCCTGAACAACAGAATCTGAACAGCCACTGCAGCGCCATTGATAGTCTGACTTTTAAACGATTCACATGTACAGAGACATGCTGATGACAGGGTAAGAGGCATGAAGCTTAATATCAGCCCATATATGTCAGTCTGGTTCCGGCCTGCCAGGACTGCCCATTACTGTGAGATGTGTAATTGTCCACGGCCTCAGTCAGCCACACACACACGCACACATAGACCAACTACAACAACAACATAATCAATAGCACTATTTGTTCATTCTGCACAGTGCTGATGTTGTGAGGACAGTCAATAATGTCGCTGATGGGAACGTGGATGGTTACACTCGTGACGCTTTGTCGACGCTCGTATATTCTTCTTTTAGGATGGAGTGCAATTACAATAAAAATGCATGTGTTGTTGTTGTCATAACATGTAGCTGTTTATAGATCCGTCCTGGTACTCGATGTTTGAAACTGATGAAATGTATTATTGAGCTTGCATGATTTCCAGAAATAGAAGCTGGAGTGTGATTGGCTCTGTGTTCAGTTTGTTGTGGAGAGCTGATATTACCTGACCATGTTTCCCCGAAAAGATAAGCAATGTTGCTGGCACAGGATTCATTAGCAGCTCTTCCTGAAACATAAAAACAAACAAACAAACAACAAAACTATGATTCCCAAACAAGAATCACTGTTAAAATGAGGCTTTCTATAGGGAAAAGCTGTGGAGTGACTCCCAAGAGGTTCATTCTGTTCATCTGGACGTAGCGTTTTTCAATTGGAGAAATGTTCTCACTTTCAGCAAAATATGCTCAGCAAACAATTTATCAGAAGGTTGCCATGAATGGGTGCAGGAGCCCAACCAACTAAAAAGGAGTGCTAGGAAGTCCAAAGAGCAACAGTTCTTGAGGATTTAGAAGGTCTCAACAGGTGAAATCATTGGTCTGTATAGTCTAAAGAGCTTGAAGAAAAGCGACTGGACTTCTTTAATCTTTGTGAAGGCGTTTCACCTCTCATCCGAGAGGCTTCTTCAGTTCTAAAGTTTCAGTTCTTTTGTTTAGTATCTTCACGAAACTCAAAGAAGTCCAGTCAACCTTCTTTCCAAGCTCACTGATCCCTGTGTTATAGTATGTACGGCTGGTAAATAGCATAGACCACAAGCTTATTGTAGTGGCTGACTAGTAATGGAACAGTTAACCGATGATAACTGAGAGGTGGCAAAGTGATAGTTTAAATGTAGTTCACCTGACAGGACAATGGGGGCACATTGGATGAAGAAAAATAAATAAAAATGCTGCAACCAGTATTTTAAGACCATGACACTTATGATACCTGTGCGTCAGAGTTGGGAAATTAAAGAGAGCTTGAACATGTGATAGACTAATCAAGAGCTACTGTATGAGGGACACTGCCAGACTTTGATAGATGATCATGTAGCCAGTTGTAGCTCCCTAGGGGTTTTGGATTTAACGGATTCACTAGTGTAGGCCGGCACAAGAGCTGTTTTACAGCTCAGCAGCTGGATCACTGTTTCGCTCTTTAATCGAGGATCAGTATTTACTGTCACAAAGGTGATGGCTACCGATTGCACAAAAGCCTTTCGATTCCCAGTGCTGCAACGGTGTGCGTCGCATGGTGCGCCCTTTGTTTCGTTTATGTGTTGTTGTTGATTTTTTTGCCTTCTGCAGTGCGATTCACAGAAGCAGTCCAAGTTTGTTTGTTATTCTGCTCGCACACACACACACACACACACACACACAGAGAGAGAGTGTCTTGGGATAAAAGCCATATCAACGAATCGCATTAACATTTTCTTTCACCATTTATTAATTCACCAAATACAGTGAAAATGGCATCATAATATACAATGACTCATTCTTAGAATGTCATGACATTTTTGTTGCTTTTTTGCTTCATAAAACGATGTTTCATTATTGAAAATATTAAGGTTTCATGCACAACAAACCATATCCAGTTTCTTTAAAATAATGGTACAAAATGAACAAAAAAAATCAAAAAAAGAAAAGAAAAAGAAAAACAGAACAAAACAAAAACGGTAATGTCCAAAAATCGATCATATAACAACATGTTATTTGAGGATACTCGTAAACAGTGCAATATACTCTAAAACTGCCATTTTCTAACAAATTCATCAACGAAGCTCAAGTCACAGTATACGATTTCTTAATAATAGTTTAACATTGATGTGTGCAAAAACCCCAGACACATTCAGTTAGTCTTTAAAAAATGTGCGACATCTGATATAGAATGAGACCAGTCCAACTCCCCCCAAAAAGTCCTCGCTTTGCCTCTCTGAAGGCCAGTCTCATTCTGTATATCCTCTCCGTAATACAAATATTCCTGTTGATGAATTCTAAGACGATAGACTAGCATATAATTTAAATAACAAATATTTAGATATAAAAATACAAATATGACTTTCGTTAAAAAGAAGCGTGCCAGGGTAAGAGTGGTGGCACCTGCGTTGGCACCGGAGTGAAAGTTCATGCAAATAGATGGAGAGAATCTTTAAAGTCATCGAAGACGAAACACAAATATTTGCAAAATCTAAACAACCAAATTATAGAGAGCAAATGTTTTTTCCCATCAATTTCATGACTGTTATTTAAAACATTACTATAATGTCCGTGTTCCTGCTGGCCTCTGTAGATATCTGAGCATTTGGAAATGCAAAGAAAAGATTAATTTTTAAAGAGATATGTGCAGGTGTAAATCGGCTACATGAAGGTGTCAGCCTGCACCTTTCACCACTGATGGGTGATGCAAGAAGAAGAATGTAGCCTTGTTTTTTTCAATTAATCTGCAGCCTATTGTTGTTTAAGTGCCAAAACAGAAAATATTCACATTGCACCCTCCTATATATATCTATATATGTATTTATATATATATTTGTTTGTTTTTTTCTTACATACAACGTGTCTCCTCTATTTAGCAGACTGTAGAGTTTTGGTTGGTCTGTTTTCAAAAAGCATTAGCAGCAACAGGAATGCATTGGACCGGTGCTGAAAGGACAGCTCCCTTGAATGCACCGTCGCCGATTGAATCAACAAAGCAGAGCCTAAAGGAGGGAGGGAAGGTATTGGAGGGGGGGAGGGGGATGTCTCGGAGCTTAGCCTACCTACTGTACAACTTATTGAAATGGGGCTGGGATTTAGCTTCAGCCTCTAGTTGCAGTATTTTTGATGCTTACAGCGCTTTAGGGGGGGGAAAGGAGGAAAAAATAGAGATGGTCGTGAATTAATGACAAGTTCATCCATCATTAAAGTCAGCAGAGGTTGAGATACAGAGCGGGGCCCGCCATCTCAACATCCTGCTGCGCAGCTGTAGTTAAAATCGGGATTCGTTTGGAGAATTGCCAGCAATCCCATGATAAATCTTGGTCTTTTATTTTTTTCCTCCCCAGAGTCTCTCTGTCTCTCTCTTTCTCTCTCTCATCTTATTCTTCCTTCCTCTTCCCTTCATCTCTTCTCTTCAGCCTTCTCCGTTCCCTTTTCTCTGCCTCTTTTTTCCTCTCCATTTCATTTCATCACCCCATCCTCGCTTCGTGCCGTCGTGATTTTTTTCCTCCCCGCACAATCCTCGAACATGCACAGCCGACAAGTGCTTCAAATCGGTGATCAAAATTAAAAAAGTCTGCAAGGCATCGGTCACGTTTAAACGCCGGGCGAAGACTTGTCTGTCATCCCCTTCAGGACTTCATCTATTCGGTCGTCCTCGATGACCACTGTGGAGGAGAAAAAGAGGAAGAGGTTGTTTACTCAGAGCCACAATCAGAAGTCACGATTTATTTTGGGGGGTATTGCGCACTAAATAAAAGTAAGTTTGGGCAAATGTGGCCCTTGTGCGCTTGCACGGTGAATTATTATTACTATCGCAAATCCCCAATCCCCGCACACACGCACTCGGTGAAAACAACTCATTCTCGAGCCATTTCTTTATTATTATTATTAATATTATTTAATCCCTTCGTTTAAACCCTACACTTGAGTCGATTGCATCACGGGGTGTGTCCTTGCATGAATGCGTGAATGTAAACAGTTTGGATGTCGTTCACGACCAGTGACACTTGTGAGAAAAACAACAACTGCAGTGCATTTTGCATCGAGCTGCTGGTAATCACGGAAGATTCTGGAAACGACAGTAATGTGGGAACTTAATTCCAAAGTCACTTAAAGCGCCATTCATACAACTAGCTCATTTTTGCGCAGCGTATATAATTCTGCCATTCTTTGTAAATGTCAAGCGTCTGAATTCGTTTTTACCTCTTTTGGCTCTGCCGATCTGCCCGAGCTTTGGGGGTCTTTTTGCCTGCGACGCTGCGAAAAAGGCGCTTGTGTCCTGCAGTCCGCAGCTAAAGGACATCTGGCTGACCTCGCTGTCCGCCCCGTAGCCGCTCATTTTCCCCTCGTTGTATGGCAGCACCTCAGACATCGTGGAACGACAGTGAAGAAGGGTCACCAGCTTCGGGAAGTTCTTTAATTTTTAAATCAAGCAAAAAAAGTTGTTGAAATTCTTCCCCGGTGGTGCCAGTACAGTTCCGTCTGAGAGCGCCGTCTCCTGCTGCGATCCTCGGTCTGCGTGGATGAGGGGAGCCGGTGCGTGAGGTCCGGGTGCTTTTGTGGTCTCTCTGTGGTCTCTGGATGTGTTGCAGCGGCAGCAGAGGAACCGAGCGTGACTGTGTGTGCGTATCTGTGTGTGCGTGTGAGAAAGAGAGAGAGATGTGTTCGCCTGTGTTGCTGGCTGATGTCTGGCGAGGGAAGTGGGAGATCCCGGGATCATAAAGGAAACCCAGGCAGAACGGTGAAGTCATCCATCCGGGTTTGAAGCTGCGAGAGTGTGGCTGTGTGTAAATGTGTGTGAGCGTGGGGACTCCGAGGGGTAGAGGAGCAAGACTGACATCAACAGGCGAGAGACGAAACTGCTAGATACTGACACAGCCTCGTGAGGCTTCGAGAAGTGGACTTTTCCTAAGGATGTCTATTCATCCTGTAGACTCAGGAAAGCGGTTAATGTGGCACGTTATAGTCTGCATTTCCCTTCCATAGGTTACCTTTTTTATTGTTCTGCTTTTCGAAGGGGAATAAGTACTTTTTAATTTCAATTAATTTTATTTGTATGTACTTTATTAGTATAACCGTTTTATGTTTATTTATTTGGCAGGAACGATGGACAATGTATACCCTGTGCCAGATGCAGCTAGAAGATGTAAGATTTAGCTGGGTGGAGGCTTGCAATGCAATGTTCGACTGACAAAAATAAAATAATAAAAAACACTTTTTATACATAAAAACTTTAATAGAAATGACCCCCCCCCCCTTTTTTTTTATGTTAGTGCTAACAGTAACAGTTTTTATTCCATTCAAAATTCAGACTTTTCCACAAACTTGAGGGATGTTTGCTTCTTTTTACTACTCTCTGCCAACAAAATGAAATGAAGGTGTTACCCAGCAGATGCTCTCCAGATGCTGTTGGATGGTGGATAAAAATCTGACTGAACTTTTCTTTATTCAGAATTTCATCAGTTTTGACAAGATCCCCAAGACCACTGGCTACAAATGGAAAATGCAGCCCTAAACCATGACAGCACCTTCACCGTGTTTTACAGAAGGCTAAAGACACGCACTGTTTAACTTCTGGACTTTCTTTGTGCCACTGATGTGATGATTTGTGATGATTTCAACCAAAAAGTTCAAATTAGGATTCATCACTCCATAAGATCTGTTGCCAGTGAATTTCAGTCCAGTTCTTGTGTAATTTGTCATACCTGTCATGGTCCGGGTGAGTACGGGGTTTTTCCACTCTGCTGGGCTCCACCTTCAAGCAGAGACTCCAATCAGCTTCCACACCTGGTTCCAATCAAGTCACCAGCATATAAGACCAGCATTCACAACAGACCTCTGCCAGATCTTCTGCTAACTCACGTTAGTGCTAGGCCGCCAAGCCCTTGTGAGAGCCCTACTGCTTTTCTCCTCACCGTGTTTTCTTTGTCATAGGACCCACCTGGCAGTCGCACTTCCCAAGCTAAACTACTCACATCTCCACCTGGACGCTGGTTCTGTCATCTGGTTGCTTCCTTTCCATCATTGGACTACACCTGCCTGCCTCCCTGCCAAGTCCCTCACTCCAAGTATATTCTGGATCCTCTCTGGACACTCCTCACCCGGAAACCCTTGGACACCCCCTCCTCACATGACACTTTACCCTGCGTAAGCCCTAACCACCATAGTCTAATCCTTCAGCTGTGTTTCACTAGACTGCCACTGACTACTTGTCTCCTCTCATTATAGTGACTGCGTACCTCCATCCAAGCCGTGTCTGCATTTGAGTCCACACCCACAGCCTGGCCATCTCGGCCCTAACAATACCTCAGTCTTTTCTCCTTGCTTCCCTCCCTCATATACTGTTTATCTGCTTTGGTCCTCAGCATGAGTCAGTGTTCAGTGGCTTAACAAATAGAACAACATCCTTTGAAAGTGTTTATCTACAAGCGCTGGACTGAAAATGAGTGAAAAAGTAACCAATTTTCTAAGAAAAACTTTGAAAGACTGTCACAAAGCTTAGAGAAGTAAGTCTGTCTTCTTGGAAGTGAAACAAGTGCTAACCATACATTGCTTTATTCTGTGCACTTACCTCACATCCATGGCTAATCTACCACCTAGTCTAACATGCATGTATTTGTACAGTTGGAGGGAGCCGACATACCCAAAAGAAATCCATACAGACACAAGGAGAACATACAAATGCCACACAGAAAACCCAAGCCAGGGATCAAACCAGGAAACGTCTCACTGCACCACTGTGGCGTCCAAGCTTACACAACCCTGTACTCCCAGGCAGTCTCTCATCCAAGCATCAACCAGTCTCGACCCTGCTCAGTGTCCAAGATCAGATCAGAGATCAGGCATGCTCAGGATGCTGTGGTCATAAACCAATTATTCCACTGTGCTTTATTCTACTGCAATAATTTATCTGCTGTGCTAGGACACATTGGCAACTGTGCTAAACTTGGTCTGTACAATCATACGGTTTTAAATATATCTAAATTACAGTGAGAGCGCTCTAACAGCTCCGGGCACAGGTCTCAAAAACTAGAACAAGCCAATTAGATTATGGCGAATTACACTGGACCACTATTTTTCATTGTCTGAGCATATTGACGACATCATTAGAAAAGTCACAGCTGTGGCCAGAAAATTAATTTTTTTGTGTCACTTTGTGAGTTATGAGAAATGTCGCGGTGCTCCAACAGCCTGTGTTTAGTTCAGTACAGGGCAGACGTAGTGTTAGGACATCTCAGCAGCAACACTGAAATGTTCTTTTTTTGTGGAACTTAACTATTGTTTACTCAGTTTATTAATACGGCAATAATGTCAGGTCAGTTTCGATCAAATACATACAAATGTCACATGTTTGTCAAAGAAATTTGCAGATAATTTTTGGTTTAATCTATTTTAAAAGCTGTAGTAATAAGATCTGTATAACCTTACACCTACAGAAAAGATTTTCCACTTTCCCACACTGCCTTCTCCGAGCCAATCAGCCCCCATCTTGCCTACTTTAAATCTCAGCACTCCTCTGTCATTCTGCCTTTCAGACTCTCATTGGTGCAAGCCACCTGCTCCCCACATCTGCCTCACCCCGGTCACTCAGAGCCCCATCCAAGCCTCCATCTTGGTCCAGTCCTAATTCCTGTCACCCCTCTGCTCTGACGGGCCATTGGAGTATAATCACGTTCAGTTCTTCCAAATAACCTCGCCTGATTGAACTGGCAGTTTGCCAGGAGAAAATAAAAGAATGACTCAATTCAGCACCATGGACAGAGACAATATAGTTTAACATTTAAAAAAGGTTTTAAATAGCGTTATTGTTTTTCCCTGCTGCATATGCTACGCCTCTCTGTCCTCAGAGCATATGGTATCTTAGAGAGAGCTACAACAGTGATCTGACAGAAGGATTATTTTTGCACCAAACCTGTTTCAGCAACTCGGGCCAGCTGACCTATCTATAAAGAGCCAATAACCTTTCATCTTTTTTAGCAGCCTGTCTGCATAACTGACCAGTTTGAGGTGCCAGCTGACAGTCTTGAGGTGAGTGGTGCTGGCGAGGCACCTTTGGGGATAAGACGTGGAATGACCACAGAGTGAAAATTAGCTCAGAGCGTCTGGCAGGACCACATAACCACGTGCAAAATATATTACTGAGCTCTGAGAACATTTCTTTATACTAATGAAACGTGCAGCCAAGCTCTTTGGAGCCAGATTCAATCCAAACAGTCGTCTTTCACTGATGGCAAAAAAAGCTGATGGGAAAAAGTTGCAAGAAGACATACAGTGCAGCATGTATATCTGCAAGTAATTATCCTCAAATATGTGATTGTGATTTTTCTCTCGCGCTCTGTGAATAAGGACGTGAATCAGAGATCATAAATCTGCCGCTCAGTCGCGATGTAATTCCTCAGGGATGACTCACAAAACTCCTCCTGCCCAATAAACTGCAGCCTCCAGCTGTCAACAGGCAGAGTTGTTGATTCACGGGTTCAAGCGAGGGCCAGGGATTTCACATGATGTCATCCGTTGGCGACAGATTTGGAGGGAAAATCTGGCCTGCTAACCCACATAGTACCAGGTGATGCTTCATGTTCTCAATTTAGGGCAGGAACATGCATATGTTTTACAAACTGTCACGCTTCCCTTTATTGCTTTCCCCCCTTATTGATGCACTGCCTTGTACGCACCATTAAACCCTTCTCAGTTATGTGCAGAAATTCTTCATTTGAATTGTCTCCGTTTAACGCAATTGATGTTTGTCCGTGGTGTGATGTCTCCTCCCCCTGCCCCGTTCTTTCCGTCTTCTCAGGCTTGTTAGGAGGCAGCGGTTGTCAATGACTTGGCTCACTCAGTCAGTCTCATCTCTGACAAGTGTGCCCACCCTTAAGAAGCACTGCTCCAAATTACAAATGAATCACCGTGCTGAGTCACTCACCCCCTCCCCATCTTTCCTCTTGAGGAGACCGAGCTCTGCTGAACTTGCACACACACACACACACACACACACACACACACACACACACACACACAGTTTGTTCACTAGGAACACTAGCTGAGGAAAAACAGCAATAACAAGCCTAGAGCTGAGAGCCAGGATCAATTCAGCCCTTAGGATTTGTGTTTGTGTGCGTGTGTGTGTGTGTGTACTCGCGTCCTAGCTGGGGACAAATTGTTCCCATCATGTAAAGCACTACATTTAAGGTGTAAGACTTTGTGTGAGGTCAGGATGGACAACAGCTGTGATCTTTATGAGCTTTAGAGTAGATTAAAATAAAAGAAATAATATAAGTCAATGAAAGTGAAGTGATGGAAATATGACTGCCTGCATGTGTGTGAGGGAGCAGGTGCATCTTTCAGGAAAGCTTAAAATGTAGCTTCGAGGACCAGCAGAAAGAAAAGCCATACACACACCATCTGCACTTGCTGACCAAAGGAAAGCGCTGCGTGTCTCTGCACTCCTCATCATGAAGATTAATGCTGTTTGTTTTCCTGCATAAATATGCTCCAGTAGATTGCAGGAACATTGGCAGGGCTCCTGCCCTTGGATCAGCGAGTACACAGCTGAAACAGAAAGGTTCACAGCTGTCGAGTGCAGCACGCTGGAGCCACAGATGCCACGCTGCACTGCTTGCCGCCACCACACCTCATCTACATCAGAGGTGAAAGCTTAATCACAAGTCTATGTTTCGTGTTGTTTAGTACTGTGTGTTGTTTCATAATCATTACTTCATCTAATGTTGACTGTGTGCCCCCTTACTAATCTAGCACACTCTTACTACT